AAATGTAGAATATGATTCCTATAGAAATATGTATATGTATATCTATTGTAATATACCACTTGGTTCCATTAACATTCTCTGCTTAGTAACCGCATTAAAATATGCAAGAGTATTTGCGCTTCGGCCCACCAAACCCTTTCTTGTTGTTTATTTTATTTTCAAATGCCGCTGGCATGCGGCAAAGTTCTATGAGCTGAACTTGTGGTTTAGTGGGGGAGGGGAGAGGGGGACCGTGGTTTAGGTTGATTGTTGCCTTGCGAAACAGAGGCGCGCTGCTGGCGCATCCAAGTCATTTAAGGACAGAGGATCACAAATAAACACTGAAAAGCTGGTGTATGTATTATATATATCTAGCTATATACATATATAGGCAACCCTTTGCATGCTTTTTAGGGACGCAGTTTACACAGCAAGAGGCCTCTGGCATATGATTTGCGAGCCTTTTTCTCCGGTTGCTTGAGCCCAGTTTGTCTGGGCGGCAGTCAATTTGATTGTGGTGTTGGTCGGTTTGGCATGTGCAGAAAAAGTGTTGCCTACTTAAATGGGCAGCGGCTAAGGCTGTTTGAAACTAGAAAACTGCTTATGCGCAGCCATTTTCAAATTTAAAATGTAAGGCAAACGAAATAGGAAAAAAACAGCTCATAATATACAGTTGCCTAGTCTTAAGTGTCTGTAATTGTTCTTTCTGTCGCTGTGGTTGCTGTTACTCTTGTTGTTTTGTATTAGCGCAGCCGACGGTAAAACTTTCAACACCCGCCCAACCACACAGACGAGCTGTTTGGACGCCCACCTACCATCTTCAGCCGCTTTCCCCCTCCCACACTTTCTCACACTCTCGACCCGAAATCCCAAAACGAACAAGCGACACGCGCCCTAGCGCCAGGGCTTGCCACAGCAGAGGCACAGAGCATGTCGACGACAGACGACGCTGCCAGGGCCAACATTAGCATTGAAGTGTGCAAACGACGCCACCCACAGACACACAAATAAAAACACACACATACACATATACATATACACTCAGTCATACTGAGCAGGGCAGTCAGCCATGCCGCGTCGTCGCCATGCCGCGCCATGCCACGCCATGCAGCAGTTGGAGCACTCACGCAAATTTCAATTTTTTTCACACCAATGGCTCTTGCTTGCCCTCTGCCTTTGCCACATTGCGGTTGTGTGTCTAGCCGACAAATTTGTCAAAAGTGTTTTTCATTTGATTGCTCAAAATGGCATCCTGCAAAAATAAATTAAATTATCTTTCGTATATTTTACTTTACTTATCCATATTAATCGATATGATTTGAGATATCTGCGTTTGGCTGCGAAGACTTTACTCTTGCCGTCCAAAATTATATAATTCTCTTCTATTCGATTATTTGGGTTATTGTTTTACGATTTGGTTTTATTTGCGGGTTGTGCTTGCCGCCATGCTGCATGTTTTCGAAGCACGCGCCAGGACACAACCGCACACAGGCATATATATAACGACACGACCTGCAAATACATACACACACAAACACACACACTTACTCAAACGAGGCAAGGCACACATACACATACAAACAGACTCAGGCACACAAACGTATTGTACGTGCTTTTACTCACACCGTGTGGCGCACTTCCTTTGATTTAGTCATTTTTCTCTCTTTAGCCGACAACCAACAAGCCATGTGGCTGGCTCCTCTGTCTGTGCTTGTGCCAGTGCCAGTGCCAGGGACCGCACGTCGCTAGTTGCCAGCCACCAGTCACCAGCCGGCAGCCGCCCAGTTGGCAGTGTGCGCACACTTCCGATGATTTCGGTTGGCGTGTGGAGCAGGTTGCCCCAAACGTCCTGGGCTGTTATTTTTTTGCTGTTTGATTTTCATTTCTGTTTTGCCACCAATACCTTTTTGGCCACTTTTGTTATTGTTGCTTTTTTTGGCTGCCGTTGAAGTATTACTTTGCAACTGCCACGTTGCGGTTGCGCGCGCTCATTTCACAACTGTCCATAACTTTTTATGCATTCTCTTTTGCATACCTTTCGATTGATTCGCATTGCACAGCTGTCAATATCGATTAATTTGCTTCACTAATAATGGTAAGCAATGTTATCGAACCGATCAGTAGCGATACTTTTACCAAGCGATAATCAGCATCGATGACTGATGTAGCTAAGCAGCGTACATGCCGTTGTCGCCTAGGCCGCACATGCGACTCATAAAAACTGAATACCCAAGTTGCATGCACAAACATACACACACACACATGCACGCATAAATATATAGCACACTTGGGGGGGTTTGGGGACTTGGTGTGAGAAGACAAGCCGTGCGGCAACATCAGCGACAGCGACAGCTTTGTTGCTGCTGTGGCTTAGTGTGGGGTCCGGCCTGGGACTTGGTGTGGCTATAAACGATTTATGTGTATGCTTGTGAAGGCCAAGCGCCACATGATTTCGACCCCGAGCCGCCCCCTGCCCCTCCCACAATCAACGGCGGCATTCAAGTCATCGTTCAGTTCAGTTCAGTAATTTTACAGACTGCGCCATCAGCTGCCAACGCACAGAAGGCAAAAATGGAGGTCTGACTGGCTGCCATTCGCCTCTAAGTGCCATGTGGGCGAACAGAGACACACACACACATTTGTGTGTGAGTGTGTTTGTGTGGGTAAGTATAAGTGTGTTTCTGTGCGAGAGTGTACTTTACAGTTGTCGATTGCATCTGTAAAAGTGCATGTCGCTGACGGCTGACAGTTCGACAGAAGACGAGCGTCTAGACCAAACAGCAAGCGGGCGATGCTAATTAACAATTTAGCTTAGACGAAACGCTGTCGGCAATGCGCAACAATAAAAGCAAATCAAGTAAAAATATACAATGCGAAACAGCGCCACATTCTTGCCTTCTCGCATATGTAGCAATGGTTACAACATAAAAATATAGCATACTTTATAGGGCGACAGACTTTGGTATAAATTAAATGAGAATATGAGATCTCCGCACAAGATCACTCCTGTAATATTTAATTTTTATAAATAAAAATGTTAATAATATACCTTATGTAACATTAATAATAAAAATAATATTAATAAAAATAAAATATTGGAGTAAAAACAAAGAAAATTAAATTATTAAATAACTAAAATAAAGTAAATAATAGATATCATATATAAAAACCCATCTACTTAAAGAACATCTATCTCATATATAATAGCTTCACACTAGAAAAGCTTCTACTAAATGATATAAATATAAATGCAGATGGTAACGCATAGATCAATCTAGGAGATATAAAAGTATATCTGCAATTTGTTCCTTTTGTCAACGAACGCTCACGCTGTCGCTGTCGCTGTGATAGCTGTCCAAAGCAACGCCATCCTTTTGCCCACATCGATGTCGTATTTATCTAATAGTCCCTGCAGCTGCTGCTCCTGCTGCCGTTGCTGCTGCTGCTGTCACAATGGTCTACGTCTGGCGTTGATGCCCCATGCTACAGGAATTGCTGTCGCCTGGCTTATTATTTGCCACGACTGCTGCGGCGCTAAAGTTTCGCCTCGTTGGTGTTATGATTTCAATGTGGGCAGCCGAACGGCACGACGACCCTCGACCCCTCGACCCACGACTCTCCGACCCCAAGCCCACAATCGCAACCGTCATCGTCAGCATCTCCATAGACACACACATACATAGATATTCACACAGATGTGAACACCCACACCAGCCCGCAGGCCACAACCATAGCTAACTCCAGCTAGCTGGCTGGCTGGCTGGCTGGCTCACTGGCCTGACGGCATTTGCGCAGAACACCCAATAGACAATATTTCAAGCAGTTAGAGAGAAGCTGCATAGCATATAAATATGAACTAATTCAGCCATTAATTATCTAAACATCCAATAAGCATTATTATATGAAACTTTAACTTTATACCTTTAACATAAACAAAAAAAATAAAACTTATTGGCAGCTGTTAAATCATACCACTAACCAAATAATCTAATCTCTTATATCAGATTTCTAAGAGATTCATGTTAGCATTGAGCAGCTGTTAAATATTACATTTTCCACATTTCCAATCTATGACCATAATTGTTATGTTAACAGAATCTGTACAGATCCAATCAGAATAGCGGCAGCTATCGTCGAAAACTTTAGTTTGTCCTGTTAAACATACATATGTATTTCACATTGAATATGTAAATAATTATATAGATAATGTGTCAATTATTATATTGAGATTGTATAATCATGTATATATATGTATATATATAATATATGATATTAAAAATATTTTTTTATTCACATTATTTTTATTCTGAAGCATTATTAAAATGTTTGTTGGCATATTCTATTTGTGCCTAAACGAATTGATTTGTACGCCACTGTGTGCATGTGTGTGTGTGTGCATGAGGGTTTGTCAGAATGCGAGTGTGTGTATGTGTGTGTGAGGGGCGCGCGTACGTGCGAACTTTCAGTGCTCGCCAAAGCCAGACATGGTCACGCCGTCTGTCCGACTGTCGGTGGCGGCACGTCGACTGGCTGACATTTGCCGCATTTGCCAACGCCCAACCGCCCACAACTGGCAACATGCCGCCGTCGTCGTCGTTAAAGCTTTGCTGCCGTTGTACGAGTATGGCTGTGTGTGTGTGGCAACCATTACCACAACCACCATTAACGTGCCAGGCAGTCAGCCAGGCGTTGCTGTTGCCGCCGTTGCCACTGTTGTTGCTGTTGTTGCTTTAGCGTGTTCTTGTTTTTATTGTTGGTTGACTCCAATCTGCTTTGGTTGCTGCGCCACACGACGCTCGCACTGCCAACGGCGCTGGCTATGGCGATGGCAATGGCGATGGCCTGGCTGTGGCGAGCGTCAGGCCAAGCCATTCAGTCGGCAAATTTTGTACGAACGATGCGCACGCGGCGGGCGTCATAAGCAACGGCGTCGGCGACGGGCCAAGTAAAAACGAAAAGTCGAAGTACCTTTCTACCGTTACGCTTACCGTTAGCTTCTGTGTACTGTATACTCGACGCTGTTTCGAGGCGCGAGCTCTGTGCAGTTCGTTTCGGATTTTAGTGCTCGGTTAACGCTCGGCCAGTGTGGACGTCTTTTGTCGCGTGCTACAGATATACATTAACGGAATTTTTGTCCCATCTATATATTTGAACGTCTCACAGTCGACGAAAAAATACGTAATTTTTGTGCGCTGCTTGTGTTAAGCTTAACGGCAAAACCCACAAAATAAGATCAACTTAGTTACTGCAATTGAATTATTGAAAGTTTGCGCGTGTGAGGAATTCATTAAGAGTTCGGCAAAAATGACAAAATGACAGCAAAACGTGATAAGGATTACAACAAAAATAAATCAACAGCGGGTAAACATATTTTTGAAGTTCCTCATTTACGTTTGAATACTGAGAATAATGTTTACGGAGTTTAAAATGTTCGAATTACATTCAGAAAAAGTTGTTAAAAATAAATATAAAATATTAAGATAAATAAAAATAAAATGCTTATACAATTTTTTAAAAATTAAGATCTGATTTAAAGCTGCTCAAGAATGTGTTCAAAATGTTAGCCTTTGAGAAAAATATACGCATTTTCGGATTTGCATTTAATATTAAAGAAGTGAAGAGCCTAAATATCTTAATATCATAAAGTATTGCATACTGAAATATAAAATGAAGGGGCATACTTTTAGTCTAGCATAAAAATATAAAGTTGAAAGATTTGATTTTTTTCAAAATAAAATTCAGAAATTGAAGAGATTTACTAAAAAAACCAAAATAAAAACAACTTAGGTATTATTTTCAATAATTTCGTTATCCTTCAATTTAATTTTATGTGTATATTATATATAGATAAAATTTTTTCATGCAAAACAACACAAATCTGTTCATATTTGTTGATCGGTTTTTAGTTATTTTAAAAATTTATATTACAGCTTTAGTAAAATGAAATGTCTATACAAATTTTAAAATCAAAAATTAAATTTATATAATTTTTTTAAATATTTATATTTATTTATAATTTTATTTTTATTTATAAAAAAAAGGAGGCCCTACGGAAATTCGATTTGTATAAGCTAAACAAATTTTCGTACTTTAAACAAAGTATTTAATGAGTTCGCATAAAAAAACAACTAATCCTAAATAAAATATTGAAAAAGGCTTACCGCAAAAATTTTTTTTTACTTTGACGTAGGCCTCGGATTCTCCGCCTCCAGTTCAACCAATGGCAGCGGCATCAAATCGATCGGTCTGGTGAGCTCCTCACAAAATGTAACCTCGTCGCAGGACATTAGCAAACGTACGAATAAACCACTCATGGAAAAGCGTCGACGTGCCCGCATCAATCAGAGCCTGGCCATATTGAAGGCCCTCATCTTGGAGTCCACCAAGCATCAAAATGCCAAGAATGGTGATGGCCAGGCCAAGCATACTAAATTGGAGAAGGCAGACATATTGGAGCTTACGGTTCGCCATTTTCAGCGGCACCGCAATCTCGATGATCCAGGTAGGTGTGAATACTAGCCACTACTTTTGGCCATGGTTTAAACTTTTGCCTTCGCCCGCCAGCAGCTGTGAACAAATACCGCGCCGGCTATACGGACTGTGCTCGAGAGGTGGCCCGCTATTTGGCCACGCCGGAACCGCCACCCATGGGCAATATGCCAACGCTGGCGGAGCCGGGCTCCAAGGCGCGTCTATTGCGACATTTGGATCAATGCATAGCCGAGATCGATGTCGAGATATGCCCGCACTCAGCGACCGCCGCATTCACGGAGAGTCCCAATAGCAGCAGCACATGCTTTGACATTAAGAAGACGCCGGCACAGCCAGGGGAGGAGCATTCGCTGGATTACAGCAGCCAGGACTCGAATCCCTTGGACTACAGCAAAGGTCTAAAGCTGGGCGAGAATCCCATGCTAGGTGATCAGCGTGCAACGCAGCAGGATGAGAACAACAATCGGGGCCAACAGGCGCCGCCAGTGCAGACGCAGCTGCCAACACAGCTGCCAATGCAACAGCAGCAGCAGCAACAATTGCAGCTGCAGCAACAACAACAACAGCAACAGCAGCAGCAGCAACAACAGTCGCCGCCAAGCGGCACAGTCATTGAGCTGGGCTACGAGCAGGACGTCAATAAGGTTGTCTGTGCCAACGTGCTGGAGCAGTACAAGCAACAGCTCAAGGCCCACACTCAGGTGGAGGGCAGCGCTGCTGCACCGAATGGTGTTCTGGTGCTGCCGCCGCATTATGTGCAGCTCGCAGCTGCCCTTGGGTTGAGTGCCCAGCCCATGGTGGATCCCATTGCCACGCGTACGGACTTCGAGCGCCTGATTGAGCTGCAGCGCATGCAACCGCATCTGGCTGGCAAATTGAGTCCGAATTTCGCGGGCAGCTTGGAGGCGGCACATGTGGCGGCCGCTGCAGCTGCCGCCTATGCCAACAGCATGGCCAACAACACAAATGTGGCGGCGGCAGCGGCTGCCACGGCCATGCTAAGCGAACGACCCGCCTCGGTGGCGTCCTCCTCGGCCGCCGCTTCGGTGAGCTCTGGTGTCTCTGACCTAAAGTCGGCGCCGGCCACACAGCAATCGTCGCCACGCTCTGAGAGCGGCATCGGCTCCAATGAGAACGAAACCCTCGACGCCAGTCCACAGACAAGCAGCGCTGCGAGGCAGGCGCTGCGCATGCGACAGGAGGAAGAGTATCGGGCACAACAGGTGGGCGCCGTCGGCGCTGGCGGTGGCGTTGCCGCTGGCCAGCAGGTCGTCGATGAGAGCATGTGGCGGCCCTGGTAGACTACAGCGGCCTTGTGTACAGATTCGATTGATTTAGGTTTTACTAAGCATATAGATGTGTATATAAATATCGGGGCTATTGCTTTCGGAATTTCTTGTCTATGGAAAACTTAGGCTGAGAACGAACATATTTGTGCATATTCTTTTCTTTTTTTTTTTTTTTTTTTAATTTTGTGTATTTCTAAGAATTTATACTCTATAGCAACACGAATTACACTCCATCTTCTGAAAATCTGTACCTACCTACTGAATATATATTATATATTGAAATTCTAAGAATTTCGACTCTATATAATATAGGGTACTGTACAAATTTTAATTTTATTTTTTAAGATGTTTAATATTAAAATTTAACATTTTTAAGTCCTTTGTCTATATGTTTTCTTAGACAAGTTAAGTACAAACTAAGTACAAACCGTAGTCAAAATTTCCCTCTGCAGCCCCGATAAATATATATATTATAATAAATATATATTTAAATGTATATGTATGTAGACTGCGCAAATTTGTTGCTTTGTTATGTTATACGACGTTTTCTTTTTGCTCCCAACAACTTTTAAATATGAGATCCGCATATCTAAAAGAAAACTTTTTCCCTTTTATTGTTAAGCTCCTCCTGCTCGTATATACATATGTAAATTCTAGCACGAGATGCGAATTTCTAAATGCATTTTTCACGTGTGCCAATGCTAAAAAAAGACTCATATGTAGTAGACAAAATCCAAAAAGAAAAGAAAAGAAAATCGAGAAAAAAATACCCGATCGTAATTGTAAAACTCCAAAAATAATTATATTTTGTTTTAAAATCTTGCGTAAAATGTATCAAATACTGAAATTAAAGAAAGAACTACAATAATGTTAAAACTAGAATTAAAACAGTGTTTTATTTAAAATTATAAACGATGCAACGACCTTTGGAGACATGAAACTAATATACCTTTCTGACATGCATACTATTGAAACATTCGTCGTTCATCAATAAAATATGACATTAGAGCTATGATAGATCGAGGGATTGTAAGATCTGTCGAACGTTGTTATACATATGAACTCTATATATATTTATTATTTTAGAAAGGTACACCATTGAATATATGTATATATAAATATATATATACATAAATATATATATATATATATATATATGTATGTATGTATATAGATTTGTGCATTTCAAAAAACATAATTCAATAAATAGAATATATATAATAATATAAATATGCATAAATATACATATATGTATATATAGATATGCTAAAAACGATTAAAAATATTGCAATGAACTTACGAAGAGGGAGTAAACTATTTGGATTTCATGGTAGTTAAGGATTTGCGCGGCGCTGATTGTCTCTGACGCGCCAGGAATGTCTGACCCGAACCCATTAATAAAGCTAATTTTGATTCTACAGCATCGCGATGAGCATTAACGCCCAGTCTATAATAGGCGCTAGTCATTAGCTGCTCCTCCATGGTGCTCATTTTGGTTTTCGACTCCTCCTCAATGACATCGATGCTCTTCTCCAAAATGTTTGCCTCCAAACCTAAAAAATAGGTAGAGAAATATTATAAATAGTTAAATATATTTCTATATAAACAAACCACTAGCTATTCGCGGATCAATAGTCTTGATCACTTCCTTCGCCTTCTCAACGCATTTGCGATACTTGACTTCATAGGCCATCAATTCCTGCTCCCGCGTACTCAAAGTTGATTCCAGCTGCGTTATTTTGCACTGCATTGCGGAGTTTTGGGTGCTTGATTCCTCGATTTGCAGGGCTACAAATAGACAATGAAAACTTTTTAATAATACATTTACAATATATATCCTTTTGTACACTTACTCTTTTGTTCGTTCAGTTCCATTAGCTGCTTGATCTGTTTGCTCAATTCATTTCTGTGGTGTTAAGAGTAAGAAATTTAGTTTATAGCTTATTCAGTTGTTTGATTGTATTACTCACTCTTTTAATATGGGATCGTCACTTTGCGAGGCATGCGTTAGAGAGAGTATGCGCTCATTGGCTGCCTTTATTTGCTCACGCAAATGCTCGCAACGTTTGTTGGCATCATCCAGCAGTTGCTATTAAGGAAATTAATGTTCTCAATTAGAAATGATAGTATAAATACTTTCTATGAAGCTAAAAGACTATGACAAACTTAAGTGTATCATCAGAAATAATATTACCAATCCCCTGGTCAGCTTCACTAGGGTCTTATACAGGTTCTCTCTTTGTCCTTCAATATGGTTCTTATACTCTTCTACAATTTCATTCTCCACCTTACAGTTCCCCTGTCCTACTCACCGCCAAAGCTGTTTGACCGCCTTGACCCTCACGCAATGCCTTGTTCTCCGCCTCCAGACGTTGGATTTTGTCCACCATAGCCGCTGGCTGTAGCTCTCGTGACACTGTGTTGCCCGTCAAGCTTCCCGAGTTTGTGGAGAGCTGTCCACACTTTAACTCATCGAACGCCTCTCGCAAATTATCCCGCTCTTTGAGCAAACTATCCTTCTCACGTTGCAGTGCCAATGCTTTGCTCTCCAAGTTCTTGTTGTCGAACTCGAGCTTGACATTTTTGCTGCTCTCATTGTCGAGTTTGGTGTGCAGGTCTTGGATCTCTTTCTTGAAGAGCTCAATCTGACCCTTTGTGTTCGCATAGCGTTTGGCATCCTCTTCGAATTGAGCATTCTGCTGAACATAGTCGGCGCTGCGCTCCTCAAGCATTTTCACATGCTTCTTCAAATCGTTGTACTCCTCGAGCTTCTTCTTGTAGGTCTCCAGTTGAGCCTCGCATACCTTAAGCTTTTCCGTGGACTCACGCAGCACGTCCACCTCGTCTTTGAGGGAGGTCAGCTCTGCGGTGGTTTTCTATAAGTAAATTGAATTAGATATCAAATATATTTAACATAGATTTAAGCCTATTCCACCATTAGCTCATCAATGCGCTGCTGCATATGCAGTATGTCCGCCTCCTGCTGCTGTGCCTTGATTTTCAAGTCTTCACGCGCGCCCTCCGACTGCAGCAGTTCTTCTTTGACCAACTCCAATTGACGTCTAAATGAAAGTGGTGATAATTGAAAAAGTTTTACTTTTATATACATATATAAATTTTTATCAACATCAATGTTGTGCAACGTCACCTCAGCTCATTATAGCGCACGGAGCCCGCCTGTATGGGACCTAAGGAAACGCCATCATCCCCAATTGTATTGAGCTCCAGGCGTGCAAATTCCTGTTGAATCTTTTGCAGCTCCTGCTGTAAATTATTTTTCTCGTCAATCAGGAGCAGCATTTTCTTTTCAGTTTCGAAACACTTTTGGGCCATGGCATCACGTTCCTCCTGTGCCTTAGTATTGCCTTCGAGCATGTTGCTCAAAGAGTTGCGCGACATGGAGCTAACCACACCGCCCCCTTCGACGCTCTGACGTGTCGATGACTCGAGATCTTGCAGTGCTCGCATTATATTCGCCTGCAGCTCCTCCTCAAGGCACATTATCTCGCATATGTACGACTGTTTCTTGGCACAGTTGACGGCACAGCCCAGCACTAGCTGAAGCAGGCGCTCCAATTCTGTTAGATCACACTTCTCTGCTATGGCCTGCACATCCGGCTTGGCGAAGTCTGGCTGCAGGGTGTAATTCAAGACATCACTATAGTATTCATAGACGCCCTCGACAACCTTTTTAAGATTGCTCATACGTAGACGCCAATTGCTGCCAACTGCGCTCGATTTGATTTTCGAAAGCCACGAATTGGTGAATGATTCAGGTGCAAATTGATTCAGAGCCTGAGCTAATGCAACGCCGTCGGACAGCTCCTCGGCATTTGCATGCGGTGCATTTAGATTGAGTGTTTTGAACCACTCCAATAGACTGTAATACATTCCGTTCTGTGCAGACATCGTGTACAATGAACAATTATGATTAAAATGTAACAGAAATTAGAAATTTTTCACAGAAAAAATAACACAGCTGTTGCTGCGTAAACAAAACAGCTGCACTGACGATAGCGGTGACAAAAATACCGATATACTATCGTGAAGCCGATAAGTGTATGTTGCATTTAACAGCGGGACTCCCGTACTTGATTTAATATCGTTTTCAGGTTAACAAATAAATGTTAACTGTCATTTTAATCTACTGCCCATTCAAATTTATTAGTTCCTTAATTATTCATTATGTTGAAATCTATGGCAGCCATTGTGCCATTATTGCTACTGCTATTTATACACTGTTCCACCAACTTGAGTTTGTCATCGTGTTCCCTTATTTTATCGATTGGCGTCCAGCTTAAATCATATTCCAGTCTATAGCTACCCTTGAAGGTTTGATCTGCTGGATTCCATTCCTGCAACACATTATATATACATAAAGAATGTCTGTTAATGTATTTTTATGTATTTACCTCTGGTGACAACATGCTAAAATAGTTCTGTCCTGTTGATCTTTGATAAAGGTGATAAATATGTCCAGGCCTCTTAGTGAAATTGCAGGCAGCGCTGTGCAGGGCTTGACTCTCATTGGACTCTTTCAATATGCTCATTGCCTGCGCTTGCAGCATTTTTATCTAAAATATAAATGTTTCTTTATAGTCATATATAGCCTTTTCTCTATATTTCTCTTACCTGATCGAGAATAACAACCAATTTTTGATGGGTACTATTTTTTAGTTGCTTATCCGCCGATTGTATTTGCTGTGCAAGATTTATTATGTCAGTTTCATCATGCATAGACACGCGCAGTGGATCCAGCTGAAATTGCGGGTTACGCTCCACCAATTGAGCTGCGTTTAATAAAGAAAAAGATTAATTCCAAAAAACTACTCTTATCAATGAAATACGCACACACACACACACACACACAAACATCAACACACCTCGTTCATTTCTATTTACTTCTATTAATATATTATTTTCCTTACCTTTCTTTATTGCTGTCTCATAAGTTAACTGCGTATCCATTGTGCAACTTCTTTTCATTACACAAACATTAAATTAAGTTTAAAAGGAAAATTGCCAAAGTCGGAAAGATAGGACGTGTTTACAATAAAATTTACACAAACAAATAATAACATGTGTTCTATGCGATATCTATCGATAGGTATAATGCAGTAATCGATTAGCAATACGCGCTCATTATCAAAATGTTTGATTTTTGCGCTAAACAGTGGTGTCTTAAGAATTGGTACACGTTTGTTTTATTCTTGAATTTTGTTAGACATTCATAAAACATGAAATTTCATTGTAAATATATATATTTGTTTTATTTTACTTATTATTAATATTTTTTTTTGGTTGACAACTTTTTGCTTTTTTTGTATAAGTAACTAATTAAGTAAATGCTTTCACAATGTAAAGGAAAATACAAAAGTAAATTATTTCACTAACATTTCTAAACATTTAAGTTGCTCAAGTTACTTTAAGTACAGAACAATTACGAACAATTATATAGGCACGTACAAACTATATAGTTTATAACTATATGTTGGCTAGATATAAAAAACATTTATTGTTTATTGTTTAAGGTCTTCCGGCTTTTCTTCCTGGATTTTTTCATAGGTCTGTTAAAAATATAAAAAGTTCATATATCAAATTCCAAAATTAAATGATTTATTTATTTACCTGCTGTGCAATTTTCAGTAATTGCTCAAATGTTGTTTTGCCCGTCTGCATGACCATGTCGTGAAACACCTTACTCTTCGACTTTGTCAAGAGCTCATAAGGCGAACCGAACTCCACGACATGTCCAGCATCTAAGACCAACACCTTATCCAAATCCATGATCGTATGCAGCCTGTGGGCTATGGTAAGTACGGTGCAGTCCTTAAACTTGTTCCTAATGGTCGTCTGAATCAGTGCATCCGTCTGCGGAT